GGCTCATAAACTGATGATTTGGTGACAATTCGTGCGGTAGAGTCGGCGTGGAGTTGAGTGACGACAACTCGACGCCGGAGTGGTTGGCCTCCAAATCCATGTCCTGAAGCGATGAGTTCAGCGACTCTTGAGTTTGGGTCCGACTCTTATTGACCACCGATTTGTATTCAAACGGAAACTAAACGCAAAACAAATGCAAGTATCAGACAAAATGACTCATCAGTTATGGTGAGACCATCACATACTTCGACGCCATTAAGAGGCCCGCAACTGATGATAGCCATCGCCTCTGCCTTCTCATCGTCGTTGGCGTCACTTAAGTCCAGAAACTCCATTGTCTGCACGTATGCCATGAAATAGACCACAATTAGTGTCGATATATGGTTACCATAAGTGTCATCATATTCATGACAATCAGCGCACAAACGGTTCACTATTTATGGCTCACTTCACGTCTGACCACTACATCAGACACACCAACCATTCAACACTCAAATGGCAGTCAATGGATGTCTAAACAATGCAAGTGTTGTGTAATTAAGAGACTATTAGTGCGACAATAATGCCATTGAATGCCATTTGTGTGCCAATGGCTGCCATAGCCTATGGCTGGTGAGGGCTCGGGTGGCACCGACCCCTGGGCTGTGCGGCCATCAATGCACTCTTAGGTGTGGACTCACCTCATCGATTGAATCCAGGTCCATCACGTGCATTCGTCACTTTAATTCACTTGATTTGATGCATTTATTTAGCAGTCATTGCATTCATGCCTTACTATAGCAAAGGGACGACATGTTTGAAACTGTGACGACTATAAGCCTATAGAAATGCATTCACTTCACAGTCAGTATACGAGACATGCATTGCAGTCCATATCAGTGCAAATGTAAGCATACCTTCCAATGCACTTGGAGATGCCATTCCCAACACTTCCCGACCCACCCGTCCACTTCAATTCACCACTAAATACATTCAATTTGTGTCACGAATACTCAGTGTTATTTTATACGATCAACAAATCACATTGTTTCATCATGGTTATCTAGGTTTATTATAGTCAATACTATTCAACACAACACATACCTGGAAATGGTTTATAAGTGCGGGTTTTCAGCGCACATCTAATGAGTCTCGCATACCTTATATTCAATACCAACGTTACGCTATATTCGTGGTATTAAACTACCCTGCACATAATTACCAATCAGATTTGCTAATCGTTAACAATAGGTATGATTATTAATTGTGTTTGATACTCTAGTATAATTTGCAGTCAAATGAGTCAGTGGAAAATATGGTTAAATGAGATGATCATATAAATGATTGTAGAGTATGCTAAAATAAAATATTGCTAACTGTACTAGTCAATAACTTTACTTATCAATATTAAATTCAGTTAAATTGTCTTAATTTGTATACAAAATAGAAAACTATTTGAATTGAAGTGTTTATTATTGTATGAAAAGCTATATTTATATAAAGTTTGTGTTAAATGAATGAAAGCTTAAACAAAGGGGTTATCAATCGATACGATAGACACCCACTCAATGAGCTAACGGAGCACTTGTGTCCAAATGACATAAGCCTTACAAATGCATTGCACTCTGTATTCAATCATTTCATCACATTTTACTCATCACTTGCGTATGAATGGTCTGTCGGGAGGAATGGCATGTCTTTACAAAACTGTGCAATACTTCATGTGATTGTATGCATTGCATAGACACCGGCTTTATATGGGGTCCGCATAGGACTCAATACAAATGCGAGTCGTGTCGTGTGTTTCATAACTACTAATCATATGAAAAGTGAAGCCCTGCTCTCACTATCTCTTTAATGAATACAATTAAAATATATTAAGATTTTTGAATGAATTTCTCAAACTTTAAAAATTAAAGGGAGAGTGAAATAACGTGTGTTTCCGGTGTGTATGGCATATGCTTATGGATAGGCTGTGTGTGTCTCCAATGCACTGTCAATGGCATGCAATGCAATGATGAGTGCAATGAGTGTGTGTTTGCAGTGTTGAGCGCATGTGGTGTCGAGTCATCTCGTATTGCAATTTGTAATCGCATTCAGTGTTAAGGCTCGAGTGTCTTTCATTTACTCACAGTAATCCCAATTAAATGTCACATCACTGCTGACCATTGAGTTGACCACCAATTCATGTCCAACTGATTCCTATCACACCACGAGTCGACCGCTATTATCATGGATTCAATGGAAGAGCCATTCATGGAGTCATCGCAGCCATCGTCGGTCTCCAAATTCATGACAAGACTTTCACAAGTAATCCAATCATTACTTCATGTGATTTGTGTTCATAATTACAAATACTGTCAGCAAATGAATACTAATTATATGATTGCACTCATTGTGTACAGCGTTACCAAAGCCTATTGGACTCGTGGACCCCTCACGTCGCCTATCGATGGGTTTGTCTCACCAATTGGTTCCCAAACCACACATATATCACCATTTCTTAGTTGATTCAAATGTNAGATATGGTAAAAAGTGCTTTAAATGGAGTTCTTTGACTTTTTTGGATAATTTTCTGGCGAACGAGTCGTTGCGCATAGGAATGCATTGGATTTGAGCCTCACTTTCACTGATAACACCACTAGAATTCAGATGACTGTCACTTTCAGATAGATTCACATTATTGTAGTTATGGCTGACTATTATAGGGCCAGTGGTCGCACCACCGGATGTTTGCGATGAGAGAGTCGATGAGTGAATAGCTGAGCCGTCTTTGAAGAGGTCGGCCCACGATTTCTGACTACTGGAGCCCCAGACCACTGGTGCGGCCGCTGTCGTTGAACTAGTAGTTTGCGTCGAAATGGCAGCACTTGTAGTGTTTGTCACGTCTTTGACAATCACATTAATCTCCGGTTCACTCACAGGATTCACACAATTCACGTCAGTTTCACTAAATTCAACGTTTGTCTCATTATTTATATGATTATGAGTTTCCGTATCATTCATCTCATTGTCTTCGTTGTAATCATTGGATTCGAGCGCAAGTTCGTCGATGGGCTCATCGCTCACATCATTAATATCTTCATCGAGAGGCTCATTGGAACAGTTGGAACCGTTACCATCATTTGAAGGCACTTTACACGCGTTGGCTGAGTCTGAGTCGACGTTAGGAACAGTGTGTGGGCTCGAAGGTCGAGGCATTTGAACTCCAGGAGTGGCCATTTGGACGCCATATGTGATGAAAGAACCTTCAGGTGTGGCGATGATATACATGGGTGGCGGCGGGAATGGACTCCCGTGTGGCAGAAATCCCGGGTATCCCGGAGTAAACATTTGGGGACCCATTCCGTCGGTCACCGGCGCTCGGTTTGGATCAATCAGTTGCGGAACCTTTCAATTAATGATTCAATGAAATAATGTTTTCAAACAAATAAAATGCAAAACAAATGCAAAACAAATCCAAAACAAATACCTCTGGATATGGATTGGAAGGCGGATAAAATGGTTGTCTGATGTCGTTATGGTTATGATTGGATTTGGAGGACTTGCCGGCGCCTACACCCGGACCCGAGGCTCTCATTTTGTTCATCTCTTTGTGAGAAGTCATAGCAATAGGCGTTCCGTTGGGCACAGGACTGAAGTAAGGGCCGGGTATCTGAGAATTGGTCGCATAATAATGAGTCGGCGTTTGATGGTATATGTACTGCGGAGGGCCGCACACAACGGGTGCGCCACCGGAACCACTCATCTCCCACTGCGGCATCGAGATTGACGTCTGCGGTAGTATTGGTTCAGAGGAATGGCTCATAAACTGATGATTTGGTGACAATTCGTGCGGTAGAGTCGGCGTGGAGTTGAGTGACGACAACTCGACGCCGGAGTGGTTGGCCTCCAAATCCATGTCCTGAAGCGATGAGTTCAGCGACTCGCGAGTTTGGGTCCGACTCTTATTGACCACCGATTTGTATTCAAACGGAAACTAAACGCAAAACAAATCCAAATATCAGACTAAATGACTCATCAGTTATGGTGAGACCATCACATACTTCGACGCCATTCAGAGGCCCGCAACTGATGATAGCCATCGCCTCTGCCTTCTCATCGTCATTGGCGTCACTTAAGTCCAGAAACTCCATTGTCTGCACGTATGCCATGAAATAGACCACAATTAGTGTCAATATATGGTTACCAAAAGTGTCATCATATACATGACAATCAGCGCACAAACGGTTCACTATTTATGGCTCACTCTGAGCGTCTGACCACTACATCAGACACACCAACCATTCAACACTCAAATGGCAGTCAATGGATGTCTGAACAATGCAAGTGTTGTGTAATTAAGAGACTATTAGTGCGACAGTAATGCCATTGAATGCCATTTGTGTGCCAATGGCTGCCATAGCCTATGGCTGGTGAGGGCTCGGGTGGCACCGACCCCTGGGCTGTGCGGCCATCAATGCACTCTTAGGTGTAGACTCACCTCATCGATTGAATCCAGGTCCATCACGTCCATTCGTCACTTTAATTCACTTGATTTGATGCATTTATTTAGCAGTCATTGCATTCATGCCTTACTATAGCAAAGGGACGACATGTTTGAAACTGTGACGACTATAAGCCTATAGAAATGCATTCAC